CCTTAAAAACTAAAAAATAAAAAAAAAAAAAAAAAAAAAGCACACTAGCCTCTTTGGAAAAGCGTAAATCTGAGGGTAAACTTGCTTTTCATTTAAAACACAAAACAACAAACAGCCAGCTCTGAGAGCCCAACTAAATTAAACAGAAACCCAGTCAAATGGAGGTTGGGTTTAAGCTCCACAAAACTTTAAACAAAGAAACAGAAGGGAAAGAGGCCTGGAACCAGGGCGGGATATGCTAGCAATTAGCTGCCTTTGAAAGATCAAGGGGAGGGGGGTGTTAATGGGCAGAAGGGCTGGGGTCCTGGTCTTGGTTACAGCAGTCAGGGCCTAGTCAGGCAGTTGCCTACACAGGGACACAGGCTGCCCTCCTTCCCTCCCCTCACTACCCTCTGTTGCTTTGAAATCCCCAAGAAAAGCAAAGCTGGGCAGAAACAGAGGGAAGGGGAGTGGGAACCTCACGTGCTAAGGGGGAGGTAGCCAGGCCTTTTTGCCTTTGGTGTGAATAGATGGAGGACTGCTTGGCCCCTGGGGCCCCCAAGATAGGAAAAGGAAATGGGGCTAAGGGACCCCTGATTCCAAGGAAGGAGAGTAGATGTCAGGCTGTGGAGAAAAGAAAGATAAACTGGAGACACAAAGACGACCAGGGAAGCCTCACATATTCCCTGTGGCCTGCACGGTAGCTGTTAAGTTCCCCAGAAGCACTGGGAAAACTGAGGTGAAGTTAAAGTGGGGGGTAGAAGACAATGAAGCACTCCACTTGGGCAGTGCCGAAATGGAAAGAGGGAGACATTCTCCATCCAGTCCAGGTCACCAGAGAGGCAAGACAGGTGGAGGTGGAGGGAGCTGGGGGAGGGTGAGGGAGGGGGTGGGCACTGTCTGGACAATAGAAACATTCACAAAGGGAAGAGGGGGTGGGAGGTTCAGATGATCTGCTCCTTTACAGGTGGGCATCTCCGCTCCTAGGCTCGGGGTCCCCCCATATCAGCACTCTACTTGAGCGTCCACCTGACATCTGGGAGTGTAAAGGTCCAGGAGTGAAGATGTGAGTTCTGAAGTCTTCTTCAGACCAAGACCTCAAGGTGGGGAGAGAAGCAGGGAGGCTCCTGATGGAGAACCTGGGGTGAGCTGTCCTGCCACATCCTCTCCAGAAGGTCCAGGCTGTGCTCTGTGGTACGGGTGAAGGGATCAGGCCGTAGAGCAAGGGCTATCTGCTTCAGTGGCAGATGCTTTCAAGGCGTTTGGGAGATGGTTTTTGCCTCCTGGGGCCCAGCCAAAGCTATGTGGATAATGTTCTGCAGGACCTCAAACTCTAGGCAAATCCCTGGAGCTCACCCTGGGAGAGGTGGCTTCGTCTGTAGCCACCCAAAAGTAGTTTCCTCCAATAGGCTACAAAGTCTCGGTCAAAGTCTTGGGTGTTGGTCCTCTCCCCACCTTGAGAAGTGACAGGAATCTCTCTTCCTCCCGAGGATGAATGAAGTCAGCCCATGGCCTTTCTAGGCCACTCTGGAAATGGCCCACGGTGGGGCAGTAAGAAGACTCTGGGCCCTCCTCTTTATTTCCATGAAGCATTTGGCAAGAGGGGGCAGAGGCCAGAGCCTTCTCCCAGGAACGAGTCTTGAGTGGGACACATCCATTGGGCTAAGAGGAGGCAGGAGAATGGGCAGAGGTGGGCAGGCTTCTGGAGACAGGGATGGAGCCGCAGAAAGTGTTGAGCACTGGGCCTCCCACTTCATGACCAGGGAAATACCGAGGGGCCCAGGCTCTCCTCATGACTCTCCTCGTCCTGCTTTCCAGCTTTAAGTGGGGATGACAGTAAAGGGCAGACAAAGCTGGTGAAAGGGAAATGGATTGGGGCAGCAGAAAAGAGGGTTCTAGTCAGCTGGAAACCTCTCCCATTTACTGGCTACTCAGAGATATGCAAAAGGCAGGCAGGATGCTCCAGTGGAAGTGGGGAAGGGAGTTGAGGGAGTAGGTGAAGGGGCCCATGGGAGAGTCCGTGCCTTTGGTCAGTTCCAAGAAAGCAGGACAATGCGCCTCAGCACCTTGTCCGGGGCAGGTAGGATCCAGGAGTGCCCCGAGAATTGACAACGGAGAAGGCAATGGGGGTGAAGGGGTGAGGGGCAGGACACAAAGGGGATCACAGAAGCAGTTTGCCATTTCTGTGGATTTTCAGGATACGGCCGAGTCTCTGCTTTGCTGTAGCCAGGCCCTTTTTGGGACGCTTTCCTGTGGGGGAAGGGAGAGGTAAGCAAAGGGTATGGCAAGGGTGCCAGCAGCAGCTCCAGCACCAACTGTCCTTGGGCCACCCCCTCCTCTGTTCCTCTGCCCACAGAGTCTCCCCATCCTTATGCCTGGCTCCAGGACCATCTTGGGCCAAAAGGCCCTCCTTAACTACTCCAACCCAACACCACATGCTTTGGCTCTTCCTCCTATGACCTCCTGCAGTGGCTACAGACTCCCTGGTTACTCTGTCTGGTTACTTTTCCCCACTGATTTCTTTGGTCCCAATCATTTTCCTTCCTAACCTCTGCAAGGTGATTGTGCCTCTCCATCTTATCCTGCCCACCAGGATTGAACAAGTGCCTGGTTAGTGATTATAGCTCAGTGTCCCTGAAGTTGCCACTCCCAGGGCCTTGTATCATTAGAAACCCCACCCTCATCATCCCAATGCCGCACCAATCTCATCACCCTTGAGCTGCATACTCTAGGGACTGGGCTTTCAGAGTCAAAGTGAGGAAAAGGAGGGCTTGAGCCCTCCCCACTTCCTCTTTCCCCACATCAAATCACCTCATCACCACATCACCACATCAATCACGTGTCCCATGTGACCTCCTCCATATTTGATCAATTTATCTCCTCCTTCATTCCCTCTGCCAGAGCCCTAGCCTCTCTTCACTGCAGCCTGGACTTGTGTATGTGCCTCCTTCATAGACTTCCCACCTTCAACCCACCCTCCACTCTGGCCCACTGGAAGGATCTTTCCAAACCCACATCTGGGTTTGTCTCTGCTTAACACCAGTCAATGTCTCTTCATGGCCTATGAGGTCAAGTCCAAGTATCTTAGGTTGCCCATCACTGTCCCTCCCAGGTGTTCTCATTTACCAGAATGCTTAAGGGTTTGAAGCCAGTGACTCTAAGATCCTTCTCAGTTCTACAACCATATGGCAGTCATACCTGGTCCTGTTTGATTGCTCTGGGAGCCGACTGAAGGGCGCCGCTGGGTCAAGAAGACACCAGGGGCCATGGGTGTGGTGCTGCGGTTTGCCTGGGCCATCCCAAAGGCGTTGGGACGAGCAGTATACTCATGGTCAGCAAGACTTCCTGAGAGGGCCTCTTGTTTAGGCTCAGGGGGAGGCAGGGGCGAGGAGGAGGTGAGAAGTTGGGGTGTAGTGGCCAGAGTTGGGGCTGGTACTGCCATGCTGAGATTAGGCTCTTGAGGGCGAGGCTGTTCTACCTCCTTCAACAAAGGCTTCTTCTTGATATATTTCTTCTTTTGGGCCTTCTGTAGCTCCTGAAACACAAGCCAAATGGGAGGGGAGAATTTAGGAGTGAAGAAAAGAGAAGAAATTTCCCAGAAAGGAATCTAGACAGCAGTCAGTGTGGTTCTACAACCTGCCCCTACTCCAAGCTTAGCCTGGATATATGTACACACAACACACAGGCCTTCCAATACCTCAGGTCCTTTGGTACCAACCATTCTTAAGTCAACACTGCTACTAACCAGTACAGTGTCAACAGAAGGGTAAATGAGTTCAGAGACTTGGGTTTTGGTCCTAGAATTGCCACTTATGAGGTGAACCATGGACATGACTAATAATAATAGCTAAATTTACACCAGCAGCTGAGGCACTTTATATGTTTGACCTCATTTACTCCTTAGAACAGCCCTGAGAAGGAAAATCCCTCAGTTTACAGATGAGAAAACTGAGGTACAGGGATATTAAGTAACATGAGCCCAAAGCCTCACAGCTGAACAGTTGTTGGGTTCAGGATTCAACTAGGTCTATGTGAACACCCACCCTGCACAATTCTCAAAATGGGACATCTGCGAGTGAAAGAGTAGCAGCTTTGGAATGAGATAAACTTGGGTTCAAATCTAGGCTTGTGCTCCCTAAGTTGGATGACCTTGGTCAAGTTACTAACCTTTCTGAAATTCGATTGCCTCATCTGTAAAATGGGCAAAACAATAGCTGGTTTTCAGGGCTGCCAGAAAGATTAAATAATGACATAAAACACACAGCACATAGTAGGTACTCAACAAATGAGAAACTATTATTCTATCTTCATCTCTTACAGTGGTTTCTCTTCTTGCTGGTCTTTTCTTTTAATAGAGGACAGTCTTCCAGGTCACTGGATCTTAAAATCTCAGTTTTGGATGGGAGGGATGAATAAGGAGTTGTGTCACTTCTCACAATATCTTGGATTTCATCCATCCATTGCTCTATGAATATACTATCCACTGTGTAGTGGGTGCCTTTATAGTGGGCACCTGGACCCCTGAGAACCTGGAAAGGTGGTGCTGAGAGCATGTGAACAACTTCACCTTCTGAAATGCTACACAGCCACAGAGACCAACTCAGTGATTACATTTCTTTGCCTTCTCTTGGCAACAGGCCTACTCCTGCCTTCAGAAGATCTGACAGGCTGTGGCTACCTTAGGAATTTTTGTGGGATGAGAATATTATTATTATTATTATTATATTATAATATAATATAATAATATTAGTAATATATGCCAGGCACTGTTCTATAATTTAACTCATTTAATACTCCTATGAAGCATGAGAAAAAAATAATTATAATTCCATTTTTATGAGAAGAAGCTGGCACAGAGAGGTTAAGTCACTTTCCTAAGGTTATAGGAACAGTAAGTGGCCAAGCTGTGATTCAGACCCAAGCCATCTGTCTTCAGAGTCTCTTTTATCAGCCAAAATGCTTGTTACTCCATCCATACCAAGAACTGCATTTCTGCCCCCATTTCTCTCATCTGAATCCAGAAATTATCTCTTCATACCTAGATCACATAGTTTAAAAATTTCTACCTTTGTTGCCAATCTCCCTTTCATATACTTCATCCAGATCCCCCCCACAGAAGACTAGACTATCTTATGACTGGGTCACTTTCACCTTATCTCAAAAGGCCATCAGCAAGTCCCCACCCAAGTTCAGACTCCCTGGCCTGACATTTATGGTCATCCATCGTCTGGCCACTTATACCTAGCCAACCTGTAGTGATAATGATGAAAAGCTAATGTGTCTACAGTACTTACCATGTGGCAAGTGCTGTTCTCAGAGCTTTTACATATATTACCTCATCTAATCCTCAGACAGAGTCTATGAGGAAACTGAGGCACAGAGAAATTAAGTAACTTGCTCAAGTGGGAGGGAGAAGATTTGAACTCAGGCAGGCTGGCTCCAGAATTCATTTTTAACCTCTATTTATCTTACTCCATTCCCCAACAAGAAGCCTCCAATCCAAAAAGATCTGTTCATTCTTTTATTCATTCATTCATTCACTCAACCAACAAAGACTAAACACATGCTTAGCATAGTAGGGATACCAAGTCAAATTAAGATATGTCTTCACCCTTGAGGCCCTTACAGTTTAATAAGGAACAACAGAAAAGTACACTTATGATTGTAAGTACCATGAGAATGCTATGGAAGCAGAGAAGGCCACTGAAATAAACTGGTGGTGGATGGTGTGAAGGGGTGTTAGGTAAAGGCATCTGAGAGGGCATGATTCCCAATGGGCAGAGGGAACAGTTTGTGCAAAGGCACAGAGGCATGAGACAGTCTGATACACTGAATGAACAATGAGTACTGTAATGCAATAGTATGGGTGGTGTAAAGGGCATGCATGAAGGGTTGACACAAGGTCAGGGAGGAGAGGTAACCAGAGGGCAAATCAAGAGGGCCTTGTGTGCTTACCAAGGAATCCCCTTCTCCTGGAATGCCTCCCTTTCCCCTCCAAAAGCTTAGCCTGCAAAACCCTTCCCAATTTCAAAATATCTTCTTTGAATACATCTCTGATCAACTCAACCAGAAGTGAGCTCCACAGAAGGCACTAAGAGTAGTTTTCACACCTTTAATTAATTTGTTCATTTAAAGCAGTCAAACTTCCTTTTTTTTTCAAATTACACCTTACACGGCACTAGGATATACATAATAGAGAAAAGCTCTGGACAAAGAATGGCCGCCTGTACTGGTTGGTCTCTGCTGGCTTCCATCAATAGCCTCCAAAACATTTCTAAACTCTGGAACTCCACAGAACATCATATGAAAAACATCATTCTATTAAATTTTATTTAAATAGGATGTAATTACTGAATTATATAAACATTTAACTATTTCACTTTATTTTAATAGCAAGTAACATGAAATCTGAAGTTAGAGGATATGAGTTTGAATCTTGTCTCCTCCATTTACTGGCTGTATTATCCTGGACTAGTCACTTAAAGAGAGCCTCATTTTCTTCACCTGTAAAATGATGAAAATATTACCTATTGAAAAGGGTTATTGAGCAGTTTACATGAGACACATGGAAGCACCTAACATAAAGCAGATGCTCAATAAATGCTCTAAGCTATAGGATGTGGCATGAGGATCTAAGGGGATACTGATAAGGAGAGAACGACAAGATTCACTTCCAACTGCTCTCAGGGTTGCCAAGCACATTTAAGAACTTTGAAAACTATAACATGCTAGGAAGTCAACTTGATTCTAGGACAAAAATTAGTGGGTGAAGTTTTCTTGGGAAGCATGGGGTGAAGATCAGGCATCTGATGAGAGACTGAGAAACTGAGTGTACTCAACTGAGTCACCTCCTTGGAGTTTCATCTGAAGACAAGAGCTCTCACCCAGGGACAGACTTGGTCCTTCCCATCTGAGAGGTTTCCACATACCCAGAAAGGCAAGTGATATTTTCAAGGGCTTTTCTCTGGCCCCCTATTTTCTTTCATCCTAAATCATTTCAACGGCGTGCCCTGTGGAAGTAGCTTGTCACTGAGTTGGTATATGTAGGATATAGGAGGGAGCTGGGATACTGCCATGGATAAAGATCACAAGTTACCCACTTCCCAATGAGACAACGGTGAGATCCTGTCAGCCTGGAGGTCTGAGTTTTGAGGCTCCAAATCAAATTGGAATCAGTGGCAGGGCCATTGCCTGAGTGTCAGCACTTACCTGCTGGGCCAACTTTGCAGCTGCTGCAGCCAAGCCTGTCTCAATGGAAGCTACCCGGGTCCCCTCACGCACAGGACGGTCCTGCTTCGGTAGAGTTGGGGTCACACGGGCTGCAGAGGGAACAATATGAAGACATTTACCTGAATGACAATCATATTCCCTACCTCTGAGCCCCCCAAAGGTGGTCTCATTGGTTTTCCTGCTTCTAGCTTTTTACAAAGCCAGATTTTGCTTCCCATTGGGTAAAAAGCTAATTCACAAATGCCCAAGGTACACAAAGCACACACTGATTAAAGGATAAAAGTTAATTTCCCTGAATTGGCATGTAAAGTTGTCCATGTTCTGCTCCCTACCTACCTCCCCAACCTTATTTCCATTCCCATATCCTCAGCTTCTCCAGACAGAATGGCTTCCTTATTACACCTCCAGAACATGTATAGCTCATCCTCTCTCCCTGTGCCTTCATCCTCATCATCTATACTGCCTGGAGTGCCCTCTTCCCTTTTTGCCACCTCTTTAAAACCTGCCCATTATTCAAAAGTAAGCTGAAATCAATCTTCTGTGCAAAACGTCTAGGACCTCTTTGGCTCACACTGAACCCTCCCCTCCCCTGAACTTATGTACAAGTCACTTAATACACAGCACATACTATCCTGTATCATTCCCTAATGCTGATGTGTATTAATCTATCTAATAACCAGGCTATGAGTTCCTAAAGAAGATCACCTTCTTGTATAACCTTTTTATATAATGCCTTAACAATCTTGAATCAAAAAATAGTTACTCATCCCACATTTTACATAGGAAGTGTATTTCAGGATAACCAAACAGCCCCAGATGATGAGGGAAAGCTGTTCTTTACAGACGAATGCCAGCTAATAAATGTAAAAGGAATGATAAAATTAGAAAATCACAGGTTTGTAAGCCCTAATGAAATAACTGATTCTAGGGAATTGGATATTCACACAGTACCAAATTATTATCTCACAGATGACTTGCTAGTCTTGAGAAAAAAAAACTAACCTTACAGTGATGAGATCAGATCACCCCTTATTGTCACTAACAGAAAGATGGCCAACTTCATGCACCTCCTAATGCAATTCAATAGGAAATCTACAGCATTACCTGGGAAGTAGTTTTGCCAAGACCTAACATCAAGTAAGCAGTTCATATTACTTCCAGTTTTTAGGAAACACAGAGATTAAAAAAAAAAGTTAAATGACACTGAGGGCAAACAGTCATCCTATAAGATAACTGGCCTGGTTTCTTTAAAAACACAATGTCACAAAGAAGCAAACAAACAAATCTAGAAGATGGAATGTGCTAAAGGACAATTATACTAGTTTTTATAACAAATCAACAGCATCAAACAAAAAAGGACTTCTCTAGATTAAGAGATACTCAGAAAATGTGATAGCCAAATGCCACATGGACCCTGTTCAGATCCTGATTTAAACAAATCCACTATGAAAATGCCTTTTTTTGTTAGACAATTAAGGAAATTTGATTATGGACTTAGTATTAGATAACATCAGGGAATTATCAAATTATTATTAATTTTGTTATGTATGATGACAGGACAGTGGTTATGTGAGAAAATGTATAATTTACAGATACATACTGAAGTACATGGTGGGGTGGGGAAGGAATGACACTATCTGGGATTTGCTTTAGACAGTTTTTAAAAAATGAAGAAAGTTATAGATGAATCAAATATGGCAAAATCTTTACAACTGTTGATTCTCATTGGTGAGTGTATGGGATTTTACTCTTTTTAATTAATGAAAAAAGTCAATGTCACAGGAAAAAAAGAGGTGGTGGTGGTATCTGACCTAGATTTAAAGATTCCTTGGTTGGTTAGCTATTGTTATTGCTATAAAGGAGACTTTCTGTATAAGCAGTATGCAGATTTTAGAACAGGCAATTTAGGAGGTTGAAGTCCTTTCTTTAAAGGTGATATTGATATTTTACTTGTTTAAAAAATGATCTGAAGCAAATCTAGCAAAAATGTTAACGCACAATTTTCAGTCATGGATTCTTGGGTATATTTTATATCGTTCTCCATAGTTTTGTGTGTGTGGTGGCTTTTAAACATGGCCCCAAATTCTTTGACATTTTTCTTATTAATAGGTGGGGTCTATGTTCCCTCCCGTTGAACCTAAGCAGGCTCATTTGTAGCCTATAGAATGTGACAGAAGTGACACTGCATGACTTCTGAGGCTAGGTCAGAAAAGGCAACTTTAGTTTCTGCACTGCTTCCTGGAACACTCACACTTAGAGCCCTGAGCAACCACATAAGAAGTCTGATTGCCTTGAGGCCATCAGGCAGTGAGGAAGCTAGTCACATGGAGAGGTCACATGTTGGCACTCTGCTTGGTACTTCTAGTCTTTGAGTCCACCCAGCCCAGGCCCCAGACATGTGAGTTAATGAGACTTCAGATAATTTAAACTCTTGGCCATCCAGCCTTCAAATTATCCCAGCTGAGGCCCCAGACATCATGGAGTAGAGACAAGTTGTCCCCAATGTGTCCTTTCTAAATTCCTGACCTGTATAATACATAAGCAAGTTGTTTTAATCTGAAAAAAATTAACCTCCTTGATTAGATCTGGATTTAGGGGGGAAAAAAAAACTATGTAAGACATTTTGTAGGGACAGTTGAGAAAATCTGATCATAGAATGGTTTATTAGAAGATCTTAGGGAATTATTAACTGTTAAGTATAACAAAGTTAGTGTGGTTATGTAGGAGGACATTCTTATTCTTAGGAGATACGGAAGTATTAATGTGCAGCCACCATAACATACTATAGTATGTTATGGTGGCTGCACATTACTTTGAAGTAGCTCAGTAAAAACTATAGACAGACAGATACAGATAATGAAGCAAATACAGAAAAATATTACAACTGTAGGATCTAAGTATTGAGAATATGGGTGTTTGTGTACTCTCCTACATTTATGGATGTTTGAAAATTCTCATAATAAAAAATTTTAAATAGTGAATGAGATTAAGAGATTATAATAATCAAATGAAATGTGTAGTCCTTGAATAGATCCTGGTTTAAATAAGCCAATTATAAAAGCTATTTTTGGTACAACTGGGGGAAATTTGAATAAGGATTTGGTATCAAATGATATTAGGAAATAAATGTTACTTTACTTAGGTGTCAAATGATGGAACTATGGTTGTGAAAGAAAAAGTCATTTTCATAGAGATGCATACTGAACTAATATTTAATATGTCATGATGGATGAAATCCACAAAAAAGGCAAAGTTAAGGACTTCTAAAACGTCACTTCTGAATTAAAACAATGAAAAAACTGGCAAAAACTGTCATAATAAAAATTTTCAGAACTCTGGAAATTAACCAAAGGTTTACAGCTACCTGGAGAGCATTTATTTAAGAAAAAGAGCTGAATCTCAGTAAAAGCAGTGAGTTTTGTGGCATTTTAACTTGCCCTAGACCCATCCACTTCTCCCGAGCTCAGTGATAGCCTTGAAAAATAACAGGCCATATTGCCAGTGATGTAGGGAACAGAAAGGAGCTGGAGCTTTCTTCCAAAGCCTAGTGCTCCCTGGGGAGCATTTATCAAAAATATTTAAAGGCAAGTGCTTAATGTCACAGATACTTAAGGTGATGGATAACAGTTGTGGCAAACAACAGACCAACCCAAAAGCTGAAAAGGAAAAGTTGAGGAATGAGATATCCACTGGGGATTAGAAAAGCTCTCACATATTTCCGGGAATCTAAAAGACCATATGCATGCATAGGGGCTGTGTGCATGATCAGGAAAGACTTGAGAAATACCAGGCACTCACCTCTGGCTGACTTTGAGGTGCTGCAAAGCAGGAAGTGAAGGCTAAAGCACAGTTGTAAATTGCCTGCCTGAGTGCTGAAGGTATGTCCCAACATGCACATAGAGCCCCTTGTCAAGCACTGGGAGATTTACTGGTTCCAGGCATTTAAGGAAATCTCTGTCCAATCGTTAGCTGACCACTAAGCTAACTGAGTAGAAACTTCTACTTTAGTGACTTTTCTGAACAAATTCTGTAAATAAACAAATAACAACAAGCAGCAACAACACAAACCCTGGGGAGTGAAGCAGGGAGTATCTGATTTCCAGAGTTGCCACATTATTTTAAATGTTCAATTTTCAAAAAAATTAGAAGATATGCAAAGAAACAGGAAAGGGTAGCCACACACAGGAAAAAAGTAATGGATAAAAACTCTCCCTGACTACCTGAACAAAGTTGGACCTACTAGACAAGGACTTTATACCACCTATTTCAAACATGTTCAAAGAGCTAAAGGAGATCATGTCTAAAGAACTAAATGAGAGTATGAGAATGACGTTTCACCAAATAAAGAATACCAATAAACAGACAGAAACCATAAAAAGGAATCAAATAGATATTTTCGAGTTGAAAAGTAACGGAAATGAAAATTTCACTAGAAGGTTTCAACAGAAGATTTGAGTAGGCAGAAGGAAGACTTAGTTACCTTCAAAAAAGGTCAATTGAGATTATCCAGTCTAACGAACAGAAAGAAAAAAGAATGAGGAAAATGAGCAGAGCCAATGTGGGATGGATCAAATTTGCCAACATATGCATATGGGAGGCCCAAAAGGAGAGAGAAAAAGGGGTGGAAAGACTATTTTAAGAAATAATGGCTGAAACTTTTCCAAATTTGATAAAAAAATTAATCTGCATATCCAATAAGTTCAACAAACTCAGAGACTACATATCATAACCAAAACCAAAGACAAAGAGAGGATCTTGAAGTCATCAAAACAGAAGTGACTCATAACATAAAAGATTGACAGTTTATTGATCATCAGAAACTATGGAGGATAAAAAGCAGGATGACATATTCAAAGTGCTTAAGGAAAATCACTGTCAACCAAGAATTCTACATCCAGCAGAACTATCCTTCAAAAAAGGAGAAATCAGGATATACCTAAATAAACAAAAACAGGACTTCCCTGGTGGTCCACTGGTTAAGATTCCACGCTTCCACAGCAGGGGTGTCGGTTCGATCCCTGGTCGGGGAAGCTCTGCATGATGCTCAGTGCAGCCAAAAATTTGTTTAAAATAATAATAACTAATCATT